GACCGTTTAACATTGAGTTCCATGGGTGTATCAATAACTTTCACAGCACTCAAACGAGCACTGGAAACAAAATCAAGTGCATACTTCTATTAATGTATATAAATACCACGTTTAGAACGAGATATCTCAAGGCCAAGGAAATAACATACTTCCTCAAAATCCTTCATTTGAAATTCTTCTTACAATCGTAGCTTCACATCCTTGATACAAGTGAAATCATTGTCAGATATAAGAATATCATCAACATATAATAAAATTATGCAAATGTCATTCTTTGTGCTACGAATAAACAGAGAGTGATCATGTTTACTTTGAATGAAGCCAGTTGTAAGAATGACAGCTTGAAAAGCTCAAACCATGCTCAAGGAGCTTGTTTGAGTCTGTAAATTGCCTTACAAAGTCGACAAACTAAGGATTTATCTTGAGCAGCAAACCTAGGTGGTTGACACATGTAAACTTCTTCTTGAAGTTCGCCATTAAGGAATGCATTTTTTACATCCACCTGACATATGGGCCACGCACGAATAGACGCGAGTACAATAAGAGTACGAATAGTGGTCATCTTAGCAACTAGAGCAAAAGTTTCTTCATAATCGATGCCATGCTCATGGGCATAACCTTGAGCAATTAACTGGGCCTTGTGCCGATCAATGGTGTCTTTATAAACCTATTTACTATCAATGACATGCCTGTCTAGGGGCAATAGGACAAATCTCAGGTGTGACTGGCCTCTGGAGCTGCAATTTCTTCATTCATAGCTATACACCAACAATGGAGTTTAGATGCCTGAGAGTAAGATGATGGCTAATGAAACAATGGATTAGTAATGGTTGCAGGAGAACAAGTAGGGTATGGGCTAACCACTGGTAAGTTAAGATGATCAGGCGAAACTAACTTTCGAAGTGACCGCAAAAGCTGGATAGGTGTTGTAGGAGGATCAACAACTGGAGGTGATGCACGATTAGCACTTGATAAAGACGGTTCAACAAAATTAATGACTGATGGTGGTGGTCCCTTATTTCCATGATAATGAGAACTATAATCTTGAGATTGAGAAATATTGAAACCAGGAAGAAATGAAAACTCCGGATGAAATGAAACCAGGAAGAAATGAAAACTCCGGTCTATGTGTGGTTGAACTAGGGTGTGAGCAGTGCAGGTGGAAAGGTATGTGCTTGAAAAAAAAAAATTTACTAAGATACGGGAGATGGATTTGTAGAGAGAGAAAGAGATTTGACGGTCGTCAAAAATTTATGGGCTGATCAAAAAAAAATTTAAACAAGGGGCAAACTAATTATTAACCTTCACAAAATGGGTGATCTGTGAGAAGCAACAAAGAAGAGATGATCGGATTTCTGTAAACAGCAATACAGAAGAGATGATTGGATTTTTGTAGCTCTGATACCATATTAGATTTAGAGAAGATGAAAAACTTAGAAACAGTCTTAGAGAGAAACAATCTCGATAAATTCTCATTATTTTTTAATGAAATCCTAAAAGGATTTATATACAAATATATTTTTAGTGTAGACCACATTATCTTTACACAAATACATAATAACAATAAAGTACAACTGAAAATTATATACACGCATTATTAGAAGCAACATCACGAAGAATGCTTCACTTCATCTCCAGTTCCAACTTATTACGAAGAATGCTTCACTTCATCTCCAGTTCCAAATTATTACGAAGAATGCTTCACTCCATCTCCACTTCCAAAGACCATCATCAGAGAAATTTTAAACTTTACAAGGTGCTTTGAGTTTATCTACCGATATGGAGTTGGTTTTGGTCCTACTGGATTTACAACACTTAGATCATTTTAAATCCTTGTTCTTCCAACCCATTAGCATTGATGTTTAGGCTCCACTTTCTTTCTTGGATCTAGGTTTGAAGTTTCTTTTGCACCTAAGACGAGCAAATGCTACGTAAGTCATTAAGAAAAGAAAAACTATTATGATTGTACTTCTTTATGTTGTGCTTAATCCATTGTAATGATGAATTCATACTAGATATTACTAATAAGATGTCAAATTCATACTAGATATTACTAATAAGATGTCAAATTGTAATAATAGTGGTAACTTAAGAGTACATAGTTGTTGGTTTATGAAGGTTGTCTGCCCCTTTAGGTGGACGGACTTCTTAATGGAATTAGGAGTTGCCAATTAAATTAACAATGGTTAGAGCGATTGAAGTTAGTGAAAGTTAGTACAAGTTCTGATGAGATCTTTAATGGTCACAAAAACCCAACAGTTAGTCCTATTGAGTTTAGGATTAATATGAAAGAGTCACATAAGGATTTGAGAAATCATAGTCTAATACTGATTTTAGATAAGGAGAATATAGAATGAAATATATTCAAATCAGGAGAAGTATTAGAACGAGAAAAATGAAATGCAATCCTAATCAAGTTGGGAAAGGAAAATTGGATATTGGAATCTGGATCCAATATACTCCAATAAGAAATGGAATTAAGATAGAGTTGGAGATAAAATCCGATTCAATTAGTGGCTTTAGGAGGACTTACTATACAATAATGGAGGAATCGTACTCATATAATAGAGGCCTTCCATCTACTCCCCTTTCTCTTAAAAAAGAACCATGCCCCTCTATCTTTCCTCTTGTTCCTTTTTTTTTTTTAATTATTATTTATTTAGATCTTTCTAAATCTACATGAACAACTCTCTGTCATGGATTGTTTCTCTTCTAATGTCCGAGAATCATATTCTTGGGAGAGTGAGATTCATTTTATGAGAGGAAGAATGGTTTTCTCATTATTCATTTTATGAGAGAGCAGGGTTGTCATAAGAGCATTTTCATTCCAAAGTACCTCGTTTTCTCATATTGGGGGGTAAATGAGAAAGAAAACATTAAACATTGATAGGGTTCTGTTTTATATGAGATTCAAATGAGAGCATAATTTTGCTGCGGGTTTTTAAGTGAGAAGATTTACTTGGGAGATGTGTAATTTTCCCTAATGGGAAACAACTGCTTGTCAGTATTGAGCTCACCTAGTCGAGCCCTCTCGCACAAATGTGGATACACAGTGGAACTTAGATTTACGAGACACAAAATAAATCAAAACCAATGTGAGTGTGTATGAATGGAAATCATACAATAAAACAAATAAAATAAATAATAACTTACTGGCATATTTGCAAATCAATTTTATTTATCAAAAAATCATGTGGATATTACCTATGCATATTTAAATATGTACTTCAGTTTTAATTGATATTTTCTCATAAAAAAAAAAAAATTATAAAAAAATCAACATGAAAATAGCTCTTTCTAGTTAATCAAGCACAATTACGTCGAACTTCTTCAGCACTCCAACAGCTAATCAAACATAGATACTCAGAACATTTTAATCTTCCAACAAGTTGTTAAACACAAGTAGCTAGAACTTTTTTAACATTCCAGCAAGTTGTCAAAGGCAAACACCAAGTTTTCCTTGTAGTAATGCCTTTCTTCCAAGCAAAAAAGAATTTCCAATTTCTAGAAAACGCCTACTTTCCAGCAATCAAACGCACCCAAAGAGAGAAGAATTGCTAGCTTTTAGAAGAAAGGATCAATGAGATATTGGAGTAGGCTAGAGAAAGAGTATTGAGTTAAAGATGAGAGGGGTTGATGAAACTGTTTTGTGTCTTTTTAAAATGGAAAATTGTTTCAAGCGGGCTGGACCGCAGTTCTACCTATGCGGTCTAAAACGTGTAAAGTATCCATCTTAAAAATAGATGCAAATAGGTGTTCTATCTAAAAATAATGAAAACTAACAAACTAACGATACAAATGTTTTTTTACTAGAATTATTATTTTTAGTTTTTAAAATTTATTTATTTTTTCATATTCATGATCTCCATGTTAGAGATTACATGTCCTTAAAAATTAAATCTTAAAATCAATCTCAAAAATGGATTTATTAAGAGCCCCGCAATTCTACATATGCGGACTTGGCCACATAGATACGGGGTCCTTTTTAAATAAAGGTTAAAAAAAAGGGTCCGGTTTATATAACGTTGCAACCTTAAACAATCCAATTAAGGCGCACTTCAAAATTTTATTATAACATGTAATTTTGTTATAAAAAATTATTAGTATTATCTAAAAATCTATTTTCATACCTAATTAGAAAATTTTAAATTTCAAAAATGGCTAAAATCAAGTAGATCTATATATATATATGAAAATCTTGAACATGGACGATCTGATAATGTGTTGCAAGATGCACTATTTCCGGTATTCAAAAACTTTTTTTTCAACATTAACAACATTTCCGATAGAGTTTTGAGGTGCATCTTTGATTCTAAATTTTAAGGTTGTAACCGTATATAAACTTTTCCCTAAAAAAAAATCTGATGCACTATAAGACATGTATTTAAAATGAAAAAAGTTCATATAAGGTTGCAACCTTAAATGTTGAATTACGGAGGTACCTTAAAAATCTATCGGAAAAGGTTGTTTTGATGTTCAAAAACCATCAAATTGATCATCTTGACATCAAGATGTATGAATATTTAAAACAAAAACAAAAATATTTTGAATCCAAGAAATAGTGCATCTTGCGACACATTATCTAGACTATCCATTTTCAATATTTTCATTTGTTTATAGATATAATTGATTTTAACCATTTTATGAGTTTGAAATTTTATAATTAGATATGAAAATAGATTTTTAGATAATCTCAAGAATTTTTTACACCAAAATTACATGTTATGATAAAAAATTTAGACGTACGAGCTTTAATTGGATTGTTTAATATTGCGACCTTATGGAAACCACACCCGTTTAAAATACACCCGATCATTTCCCTACTCTTCTTTTCTTTTTTCTTTTTTCTTTTTTTTTTTATTTTAATTTTGTTTTGGGTAACATATGAAGCCCGGACAGCAGCCTATGTATAGATGAGTTAAGTGCCTTCAAATTTTGGTAGCGGATATTTTAATAAGTTTCAAATTCAACAAAGGGCCTATTAATGCCGACTGCTACGGTTATCCTCTTCATTTTACCAAATGCCACATTTGTTGCTCGCCAATACATTTCTTCAGAGCGTCTTAAGGAAAAATATAGAGGGCATTTGACTGTCATTTACGAAATTTGGAAGCTTGAATCGCGCTCCATGTCTCTCTCTCCATGAATGCACAGAGACTTGCAGGCATGGTAATGGTGGTGGGATCTCAATGCATGGGCTCGAATTCCAAACCCACCCTCATGGCCATGCCCATATCAAATACAATAAATGAATGCGTTTTGTTTATTTATTCATTTATTTATCAGTTCTTTAATGAAGTTTTATGGTTGCTTCCTTTCTCTGCATCCTCTGTAAATTTCAGTCACTTGGATTTTAAGGAGGGGAAGAGAACAAGATACTTCTTGGGGTGTAGTAAAAATTAAGAAATCGATTAATAAATGTTACTTGGTTTTTTAGAGAGCCATGTTTATTAGAAACTATGTAATTTGGGTTATGAAAATGTAGTATTGAAGGAGAAATTTTACTGGCTTTTCGATCAAGAAGAAGAAGAAGAACACAGCTTTACTGGGGATTTCAGTCGAGAAGAAGAAGAAGATTAATTTTATTTGGGTTTTTTTATGAAATAGAAAAGAGAGTATTGGTTTTTCTGCAATTAAAGGTTTTCAAATATGGGTGAAGCAGTTCCTGTGGGCTTGGCAGCTGCTGCAACAGCAAGAGGGGCCATTGCTTATCCCCCAACTGAACAACTACATGAGCTCGAATACTGCATTCACTCTAATCCTCCATGGCGTAAGAGTTTTCTTCGCTATTACTCTCTCTCTCTGTTTTTTTTTTTTTACTTCTCTACTGTTTTTCAATGAATGTATTTAGACACATGGGCTTTGTTGATATTACCTGTAATATGCTAGATTTGATTTTCATGCTCTTGCTTTCCATCACTTTTCCTCGTTTTCTTGTTATGCCCTTTTTATTGATTTTGTCGGTTTTCATATCTATAGTTAAAATTGATCTTTTTGCTGAAATATGTTTTGCTTAATACCTGTTGTCTTCACATTTCTTTTGAAGTAGCTTTGTCTTGAGATCTGAGAAGAGTGCTCTCTCTCTCTCTCCACCCAACCCCCCCCCCCCCCCCCCTTCCCCCGCCCTCTTTTCCTTTACTGTGATCTTTCACTAATAAAGCTCACCTGTATGACTTGTATTTACAGCAGAAGTAATCATACTAGCCTTTCAACACTATATTGTGATGTTAGGAACCATTGCTATGATCTCCACCCTTCTTGTTCCTCAAATGGGAGGTGACCATGTAATTCTCTTGACCTTACCCATTATCAAAACCCTTTTTTATTATTTTTTGGTTAATTGGCCCAACTACTCTAATATTATAGTTTAGTTTTTTTCTAGTTTGTTTATTTGAATGATGGAGCAATACTTGTCATGAATTTGAAACAGGGGGATAAGGCAAGGGTGATTCAAACATTACTGTTTATGAGTGGTTTGAATACACTTATTCAGACATTGGTTGGAACAAGACTTCCTACTGTGATGGGAGGATCGTTTGCATTTGTGATCCCTGTAGTGTCCATCATAGATAATATCGCATCCCGGCCATTTGAAGATGGACATGAGGTACATAGAGAGAGACAGAGGTTACTTTCTGGACTAAAACTTATTTGGAAGAAAGGATAATACTGTAATATGAATTTTTTACAGGAACACAAATTTGATTTCTTTTCATCAGTAAAAAGCGTGAGGTTCAATTATGCAATTGATGAAGAAAAACTTTGGGAATGATGTTGCCTCGTATGCTCTTCAAAGTTCTCGACACTTAAATGTTCTTGAGATTCTTATGTTTTGGAGGCATAATTTGTTATTAAACATGCGTATCAAAATTAGAAAATATGACTGTTAAGGGACAAAAAAGAGTGCAATTCAGTTCAAAGGAAAAGAATTGCCTATTTGGTTTTTTTTAAAGGGAAAATGCAATATAGAATCCTATAATTGAATCTTGTGGTTCAGCAAGATAAGAAGGGATTTTCATTGATCCTTTCACGCCATTTTTTTCTCTCTCTATTGCTGCAATTGTTTTTTGTTTTTATTGTTGGAGGTGATTCGCAGTACATTCTTTTTATGATAATTAAGTGACAATATTCAGAACCATTATTCTAAAATAAATACAGATATGTCAGTGTGATGTCGAACTTAACATGGTATGAGTTCATCATACAATATGGGTATCCAAGTTTTCTGTGAAAATCAGTGCAGTACGCATTACAACATTGTCATTAGAAAAGAAACCAGATGGTTAATGATATAGGTTCCTGATGGTATCATAGATCTCCAAAGTGTTTGTTTACAATGACAAAGCAGCACCATTATATTGGATTTGTTTAAATCATTTAAAGTTTAGTACATATTTTAGATATTCAGGAATTCTACAAAAATCTTATAGGATCTGCATACTCTTTTCTTTTCAAGATCTTACTCTTATACTAATCCGTTATCATGTAACTACAGAGATTTGTACATACCATGAGGGCTATACAAGGAGCTTTGATCGTTTCATCGTTCTTGAATATCATAATTGGCTATAGTCAGTCATGGGGCATGTATACAAGGTAATAACAATTTTGAGTTTTCACCTAGAAAACAATTTGTCACATTTCGAGATTGGTTTATTAGCGTATTCTAAATTCTCGTGTAGCTAGTCTGTTCTTGATCATTAAAAAATATAAGAAAATGCAATTCCCAAGAAATATGCATTTGGATATTTAAACCCCAGGCTTACCGAAAATCAAAGATCAATTGTTATAATCTAAAAATTGATTATCCTAAGGTCATAAACTGCCAAAGTAAAAATTGGTTTTTTATAGTTGGGTGTGGTTTGTATAGAGCCTAGGCTCTGTACAATCAAATTAAAGCCTGCCTTCAAATAGTGTCGAGAATTGTGGTTTCAACACTGGAAATCTTTGTGATAGCCTTAAAAGATGTTTTATCTTTATTTGTAAAGTTTAAAGCTTCAAAAATAGTGTAGATCGACAAATCTATGAAACTTGAAAATCTTAAAAATTGACGGTCCAAAAATGCATGACAAAATACACTATTTTCAAAACTTGGAATCCATTTTTTTCTCATGTCCATGCATCTTCAAGTGAAACTTTTGAGGTACGCTCTAATTTGATTGTTTAGAGCCTCGGCTCTATATAAACTTTTTTTTATAGTTTTGATCTCCTATTTCAGGTATTTCAGCCCTCTTGCAATGATCCCTGCAGTTTGCGTTGTGGGTCTTGGTCGATTCGAACGGGGCTTTCCTCAGGTATTTCTTATAACAAAAAGAAACTGATTTATTTTTTTATTATATCTTAACAGGTGGGCTAAAATAGATTTCTGGTTGAGCTGGTAGAAATTCGAGTAGTTTATGTTAATGTATACTTTTTATACTTGTTTTCAGCTGGCAAAGTGTGTGGAGATTGGCTTGCCTATGCTACTTTTACTTATCATCATCCAACAGGTAGTGATAGGTTACTAAGATTGTAAAGAAAAATGGTTTCAGCTATGTGTTGAAGCTTTATTTCTTTTTTTTTCCTACTTTCTATCCTATTGAAAAGTTTTAGTGAATTAATGAAGAAAATAAGAATCAAAAGTGATTATAATTTCTTGGGTTCAGTATTTGAAGCATCTCCATCCAAGGGCTTACCCCATACTCGAGAAGTTTGCTCTGCTTATATGCATTGTCATTGTTTGGTCACTTGCTGCCATCCTCACAGCAGGAGGCGCATACAACAATGTTCATGAGAAGACCAAAGAGCATTGTCGGACTGATAGAGCCTATCTTATATCATCAGCTCCATGGTAATGATCTGCACCACGTTGTCATTCGTTTATTTGGGTAATTAACCATACAAACCACAGAGATTGTATACATAAAGACTGGACTCAAGCCATAGGTTGTCTGCATGACAGGATGCCACAAGTTGTGTCTTGAGTTCCATTCTTACCAAGTCCTAAGTTAATATTCAAAAATAAAAATCATAGAAAGTATATGTCAAGTTGTATTTGGGACCATAGAAAAATGAGATTGAACAAGGCACTATTTATTACCACTTTTTCTCTTTTTATTTCCTCTTGTATCTTGTCATTTCACCTTGGAGTTTGCTTTGATCTCAGCATCTTTATTACCCTGGTTATTCAATTACTTATTATTGGTATTTATTTATTTATTTATTTATTTAACTTCTGCTTTGTTCAGGATCAAAATCCCATATCCATTTCAATGGGGCGCACCCACTTTCAGTGCAAGCCATGTTTTTGGAATGATGGGTGCTTCTCTTGTTTGTACTTTTGAGGTCTTATAGCTCTTGATCTATTTTTTTGCCTTTATTTCTTATCAATGCCTATTAATTAGGCAAGATGCGATCTGTTTATAATTTCTGATTGTACAGTTGTTCTTGCAGTCTACCAATGCATATTATGCTGCTTCACGGCTTGCTGGTGCAACACCTCCTCCTCCCCATGTCCTCAGTCGAAGCATTGGTTGGCAGGTTACTTAACTTACAAATGATCCCTAGTTTCATGTTGCAAAGATGCAGCATTTCCTTAATCTGATATGTGTTTGTGTGTGTATAATTTTCGATTGAGCTAGAATACAAATGAATTCGAATTTTAATGTTAGTTTAGTTTTCCTAAATCTAGTAAAGTTACAAATACAAATGAAACTTGATTAGTCTGTTTTCCCCAAGTAGGAGAACAATGGCATAGGAAGGTTAGAAACACCTAGAAAGAAACTAAACAAAGGAAAAGTATAGCAGAATTGAAAAGTTAAGTGTAGTAAAGGATCAAAACATAAGAGGAGCACTTAATTTATGGGGCAGTAAAGGTACCAGGGCATATAATCACTAGATTAGCAAAACATCTCCAACAAAATGAAATATTTTTTAAATTGTTGGTTTTTTCTGGACTCCCTTGTACAGAAATTTTAGCAAAACGTCCTCTTAATCTGAGTCAATTTTCTGTATGAATCTTAGAGATATTCTTCCAGTTAACCCCCTTAGGGGTTAGGTCATGTTTCGGAGTTTGTCTGAATAAGAACATTCTTCTTACCAGTTAGCCCCCATAGGGATTAGGTCAGGTTTTGGAATTGATCAGGATAAGAACACTCCTATTCTCAGTCTCAATTAACCCCATAGGGATTAGGTTCGGTTTTAGAGTTATAGGGAGACAAATTAGTTTGAGATCTGGAGGCACTAGAAAAACTTGCTTGCTTTGAAGTATTGAACACCCATGACTCTGTGAAATTTTGATATGCAAACAGTCCCAGCCATTGTTATAGAATACAACTGCATAACATGTTATGCGGCCTAGCCGCATATGCAGAAAAATGTGATGCCCCAAAATGTGCAGCCCATCCCGTGCATATGCGTCCGCATCTGCCGCATTGCCCACATCGAAATTTATTTGGCTTGTAGGTAAGTTTTTCATTTCCTGATACTTTTTTTTTTGTTGGTTCAATGTCTTCATCACCTTCAAGTAACAAGAATCCAACATGGAAATAACCTAAACTCAAAAGCACTAAGGATTGAAATAGAGCTATTTGTACTATGTGTGTGAATATTTATATGGGGGGTATTTTCCTGTAAAAAGAATAACTAGCTAGTCATCATTCGAGCCTTTTTCCAACTATTTGGGGTTGGCTACACGAATCTTAGTTCATCATTCTGCTTTATCAAGGGCCATACCCTTAGTGAGGCCACAAATCCCCATATCTTTTCTTACTACTTCCAACTATATCATTTTGGGACTACCTCTTGCTTTTTCCCTTTTGGCCTTCTACCTGAGCCAACTCGCAACTCTTGACAAGTGTTGTACTGGATCTATGCTGTACATGCCCAGCCACCTAAGTTTACTTTCTCTCATCGCCTATTAGAGAACAACTAGCCAAGTAGCTGATAAGATTGGAAGAGAGACTAGGGCATACATAGAGAGCCTAGGAAAAGCACAAAAAAAGGAAGAAAATGAAACGAAAGGAATTTGACAGAAGAAATTCAAGTATTTGATGACTTGTCTGCTTCAAAGTTGAAAGTTCATTTTCTTTTTCTTTCATAAACTTTTTGTCTTAAAAACTATCAAAATCATCTAAAAACTTAATTCTAACTAACACGGTAGTGTTTCCATTTTTTTTGGTCATTTTTTTATTTTTTATTACATACATTTGTTTCTGATTTTTAGCTCATTTATAATGGTGGGGCAAGCTGCCATGGAACTCACTCCAACTAGGCCTCGGCCTTTGGCAAAGGCTGAGTTACTCAGCCAGGCCCCATAACACTGCATCGTAGTGATTATCTTCTTTGAAGTACAGGGTATAGGGATGCTGCTAAATGGCATATTTGGGGCTGCTGTGGGTCCCTCAGTGTCTGTGTAAGCCACTCTCTTGAATCTGAACAATATTCTGATCACCTTATATTTTGTTATTGAACCCCAACTTGCTTTTCTTTCTTTGTCAACTAAACTACATTTTAAGTTCTTCATGTTCTCAGTCGTTCTTGTAGTGCAGTATTTGCTCTTATGGCTCTTGCTTGAATTTTATTTTCTCTAATTTGATCTCATAGTGAAAATGTTGGCCTCCTTGGAGTTACTCGACTAGGAAGCCGGAGAGTGGTTCAGATATCAACTGCATTCATGGTTTTCTTCTCAATCTTCGGTAATTTCAGAGTGTTTCAAATATTCAGATTTACAGAAGAGTCTCAAAACCTTGTCCAAAAATTCTCTGTTTTCTTGTTTCCTCAGGTAAATTTGGGGCCCTCTTTGCCTCCATTCCCTTCCCTATATATGCTGCCATGTACTGCGTCCTCTTTGGCTTTGTTGGTAGGTCTCAAACGATAAGGTTCCCTTAGAAATAGATCTCTCTCTCTCTCT